CGTACTCGCTCAAGTCGCAGGCCCGGGTCTTGCAGTCCACCATCTTCGCTCATTTTCCTGAGCGGGACCTGAGCCACTCTCCGATGCGAGCCTCGAGCTACTACCCCCTCAAGGCCTTCCCGCATCGCTATGCTCAGATGCTCGACTGCTATCTCCATGGCATGACAACCTTACTCGTACAGTCAAGGCGATGCTCAGCGAAGCCGGCCTCCATTGCGTCCTCGATAGGTCTGGTTGCACTTGTGTGGGAGGGGGGCGGAAGAGGAAGGGGAGAAAGGAGGGGAGCAATGGAAGGAGCCCTTGCACCTGCCGGAGGCTTGAAAGGAGGAAGGTAACGAGGAAGAGAGATGGAGCGACAACAGCCCGAAACAAGCACTGAGCAGCACCAGAGGATGTTTAGGATGTTTACTCGCACAAGGTAAAAAGTGCCTCAAGCAAAAGAAAGCAGGAGCAAGCTAAACCTGCATGCACACAGCGCCACAGCGAGAAGCAGCAGAGCTTTACTCTACCAGTAAACATGTCACTGCCTTGACCTTGTCACAGTCATAGTGAGGGATGAGGATGGAGGCGATCAAGGCGACAGCGTTGACGGGGAGCCTGTCGGTCTTGCGCAGCATGTCGATGGCCTGAGCATAGCGCTGGAGGGTCTCGTCGTCGTCGAATTTGATAAACGCAAGGCAGAAGCCGCGCTGCTCTGCTCGTCGTGGATCATGAATGAGACGTCAAGGTTCCATCGGTCGCCCCACAGCTCCTGATTGTGTCTCATGTCTTGCCTGAGCTGTTGCATGTAGGGCTGGGCCATGTCGACCGTGCTGCTGGCATAGCGCGAGATGCGCTTCTGCGTGGCGATGTAATCGTCAAGCTCCGCGCTGTACTCTGCGCTGTGGAACAGGCTTTTGACGGCTCCCTGCTTCCGCCGCAGCTTCATCACCTCGTCGTAGAGCTGGGCCGTGCGCTGGTCTCCTGCAGTCATCAGGTAGGTGAAGCCCAGGCAGGGCTCATGGTCATGCTGCTCGCTGTCACGCACCAGGTGCACCTCCTCCGTCACCCTCAGGCCGTTCTTGCGGAGGCAGCCCAGCATGATCGTCATGCCCTTGGTGTAGAAGGTCGGCAGCGTCCTTGTGGTGAGGATGCTGCTCCGACTGGAAGTGTAGCGCTGCAGCAAGGAGGCAGCGGGTTGAGAGCAGAGCGAGGACCAGTCGGTCCACCACTTCCTCAGGGGAGCTTCAGATGTCTCACAGGAGGCGGCAGCCTGGCTGTACAAGCGGACGATGATCTTGTGACTGGACTCAAGGGAGGAGAGGAGCAGTCGAGCTTCCTGAGCCATGTGCGGGTCTCTGAGGCCCCAGCCCTGCATACTCCGTGCCTGCTCACAGAAGGAGTCGATCTGTTGTATCGCCGCATCCGTGTGCTGCATGAGCAGCATGTAGTCGGCGGGGCTGAAGGAGCTGCGGATCTGCTCCAAGCTGGTGGCGCCCGCAAGCATGCTGCTGCGGCTCGGGTTCAAGTGGGGATTGAGGGGTCGGAATACCCTCATTGTCTGCCGCCATCCCCCGCGTCCTCGCTCTTATGAATGGCCCCCGGGCCTACCACCCCTGTCTGCCCCCCTGCGGTACCGCCTGTTTGTGGGGTGGGGTGGGGTGGGGTGGTTGGAGGGAAGGAAGGGGGTGAGGGGGTGAGGGGGTGAGGGGGTGAGAGGGTGAGTATGGGGGTGGGGTCAAGGGAAGAGGGGGTATTGCGATGGTTTGCGGGAACGCACTCGTGCGGCTGACAGGTGGGAGGGGAGAGGAAGAGGAAGGGGAAGGAAGGAGGGGAGTAGCGGGAGGAGCCTCTACCTTGGAGGAGATCCATGGCCAAGAGTCGCGATAGAGTCTAAAGAATAAGGCAGATAACAGAGTTGTTGCCCTGCAGCGAAATCTGCTCCATATTCATTCTAGTAGTCTTGAAGGGCTCCACCTACATTCCCTCGTAGAAGAGGTAGAGATCTTGATTGGCTTGGGCTGCAGATGTAGCTGTTCGTGCAGTTGCGCGCGTATATGTCGCCTGAGCGGGAGGAAATGAGAAGGCAAGCAGGTCACTTGTTTAAAATACATACTCATATCACACTAAGTTACTATCCTACACCAACACACGTCGTGTCTTGCTATATCACACGCTAAAATCATTACACTCAGCCGACATCAATTAGCTCCATCAGTTGGCAATGGCAGTTAAAGACGCAGAGAGATTGGCCACTCCAGCCAACGGCAGGAAGCGCTGATCAGCCGCACTGCTGGGATGATTCCTGAAGAGTCTCGTGAGAGGGCGAGGGAGGAACAGAAGACGTACAGAGGCTCGGAATCCTTCCTGCGCTTCTTGTTGGGGCTGCAAGCATTTCAGCAAACACAGCTTTAGGTCAGGTCAACCAGTCACCTCGAAGGGAGATCCGCGTCTGCAGGCCCCTGCCTGTTTCTCCTCGTCGCAATGGCATGTCAGCTTCTTGCAGCAAGGCAGGATAGGGAGCATACCTTCCAAGCCGCTCCATTGCGCCTTTGGTCGCAAACTGGGTGAAGCATGCTTCCAGTCTCTGTCAGCCCCTGCGATCTGCCTCCTTCCTAGAACAGTCGACCGATGTACTGGGTCCAGTCCCTGTTACCCGCGCGCGTCTCTGCCGTCACAAATTTCCACGAGCCTCCTGTTCCCCTGCTCTCAAGAGAGGACAGAGACGCACGTCGGGCTGACCTGACGTGTGCGTGGGGTTCGGGCAGAACTCGTAGGTGCAGTACATGGGCTGATTTCCAGCACACTTGGGAAGCGACGGGGGACGTTTGCCTGCCAAAGGTTCACACCGACGGCTGGCAGCTGAAAGAGGGCATCATACTCTTGGGAAGCTTCTCTTTCTTGACTAGCATTGGATCCCTGCCAGGAGAATATCGTCAGCTGATTCCTCCTCCTCCTCCTCCTTCTCCTCGATATCATCATCATCATCATCATCATCATCATGACGGTCCTCAGTGACGCCTTCAAGGACAAGCAACTCACCCCGACATCATGGTTCCTCCTTGAATCATGCCATGGTGGACTTGAGGGTAGGCCGGTGCAAGGGGCTGATAGACAAAATCGGCATAAGGAGAAGAACAGCGAGACCTAGAAACTGACGCGCTCTATCGGCTTGTAGGAGGAGCTAGGAAAAGGTTTGGGTTCGAACTCCAGCTTCTGATGGACATGTGAGATCATGAACAGCAGGCGCTGTGACCTCGTGTCGCTACTCACCCGCTCGGCAGGAGACCTTACATCCTTGGCAGGTTCGCTGACAAGAGAAGCCAGGTTCACACTGACGGACTGTTGGTCATGCTGTATGCTCGTTAGCGCTAAGGCAAGGGGCAGGAACAAGGAGACCCGAGGAGGCAAGGCGTACTTGAGGATTGGTGTTGTGTTCTCGATATGAGTAGTAACTGGAGGACTGGAGATGCTCTCCTGCGCCTCCACGCTGGATTCCTCCTGCAACAAGAGCATCGGCCTCCAGCAAACAGAACAAGAATGCCTTACTTGTGCGTCGCTTTCGTTGCAGATTTGGAAGTATTCCTGCTGGATGGGCATGGAGATCTGACCATCAAGTCAGCGCCTCAAGGAGCTGCACTCCTCTTCCTTCTACCTCCGTCACGATGGAGAAGTTCGGTTCGAAGCATTCTCCACCAGTCTTCTGGCTCACATTGTTTTCGAGGCTGTTGTCTTGGAGGATGGGAAACAGCAAAGAAAGATTCTCATCGATGCCGCAGTCTGCGTCTGGGCTGTCGTTGACGATCTCGATTGAAGGTGGCCCCAAGAGCTCAGAAAGCGTCACGTCCTCGTCCGGAATGAAGATGGGCTTCGAGTGCATGTCACCCGAGTAATCATCGTAGAAGTAAGGGGATGTCGACCTCATGTCTCCCTCTCCTGCTCTCAACCTTGTCATTGTCATCTCGATCCACAAGCACCCTCGTCTATCACTGTCTCCCGCCTCAAACTACACGTGTACCCTCCTCTGATCAAGTTGAGCATCTGATATACAGCAAAACATCGCATGATACAATCTTGCAGAGTACAAACACTCAAGTTTCGTCACGTCACCGTTCATGTCAGCAAGTTATTCCCTTACTATAACTTGGACGATGATAAAATCAGTATGCCATCACTACATAGACCATAACAACATCAGTAGGATTGATTGCATTCTGATCGTCCTCAGAATCGTTACCATTCAAGTTTACACTCAGACATTCAGATGCTGTTATTAACGATTGTCCATGCTCTGCTCGTATTGCTCGGCTTGACAACCTCCAAAGTTTCCACCGTGAATGCCCCTCCTCACTTGGGAAGAAACTTAGAGTTCAATCCGTATCTCATCGAGCTCATCTGATCACTGTCCTCCTCCTCCTTCTCCCCTCCCCTCCGCACCCTCCTTGTGTCGTTCACTCCCGCCATCTGCTTAAGCGACCGGAGTAGGCGGAGGCCGTGAAGGAAGGGTGGGTGCCTATCACAGTGGGTACTGGGAAATAATTTCCCTGGTGGGTACTTCGGAGTCCAAGGCACCGGTACTTTTGATATGGCGTCTATGATCAAGCGGGTACTATGACACCAATAGGTAAAAAACACCCTACCATATGTCGGCATCGAAGATAGATTAGGGTGGGTAGTTAAGGATTAGTGGGGGTTATCACTATCACCGGTGATATCCCTGACACCATGCACATGTCATGGCTTGAAGTTACGACCATGGCTCCAAAAGCACCGGTCAAGGAAAGTCACGGGGGGTGGGGGAGTGAATTGAGAGGTGAGGGGTGGGTAGTTGGGGGACCCTGACGCGGGTACAATGGTAGTACCTGAGAAGAAAACTTTTAAAAACCTTGTGTATCAATAATGTTATTATTAAGATAAAATCAAACTTTACAAGGGAGGTTTTGTGGCTTCTTCTTGTGCAAAATTTGAAATCATCCCGAGCAAACAACGGTTGGGAATATACAGTTTCCAAATCTAAAATCAAGTGTAAAACATGAGTTCTGTAGATAACAGTACCATAATTTTCGACTCGTTGTGATCTGGAATTCGTGATTCGAAGAATATATACACTTATTAAGATGTATAAATATATATGAAAATCAAGTCACGAGGTTGAAAATACTATTATAAATTCTACAGAAAGGAAAAATAATTATTAAATTTTGAGCGTCAGCACTACGACAGCCAAAGTCGAAACGATCCAAATTAACCTTGTTCTGGATCAGGCCGTCGCTACAACTACAAATATATATAAAATTATATTACTTGTAGATTGAATTAGGGGTAGGGGTGAAAATGTACGTGAGTTCTGCCCAGGGGGGGTGGGGTAGGCAGGGGCTGTTGGAGGCTCGGAGTGCGGGGTACACGGGGCAGGCGGACGAGGTTTCTTTGACGACCTGGTTCGTACCTCCGAGCAATCTGGTGATTGTATCTTCAATTGAAATGATTCTTTTTCATCCTTTTTGTTTTAAGTGTAATCAGAATTAAATTACTTTTATGTGAACGGGCCCGGCCCCTGCAACTCGCATCTCTTCGCTTGTTACCACTACCCCCCCATCACCCCCTCTATCTGACATGAGGTCGCCACGTTACGACCGACCATGGGAGCTACCAAGGGGGGTAGTCTCTGAGGAGAGGTGGGGTCCATTTGCCTGGATGGTATCAGGCGTAGCTGATGGGGTAAAAGCACTGGGGGTAGGCCATCGAGATACGACCTCTAACTTGGCAATAAGTATTTTTATAATGGTTATAATGATGTACATCTACAATAGTTTTTTTTTTTTTGATAAGGGCGGCAACAACGCTCTTCCGCTCTGTCTTCCGCTTCCGCCTCGCGGTCCGGAGGCGGCGTCCGACGAGTCGAGCCTGAGCTTCCCGCCGGTCCGAGTCCGGCGGCCCGGCCGCAACTTGTCGGACTTCCGTTCCGACAACGGGCTTGCCAGGCCCAGGGCCCGGGGCCGGGCGCCGGTCACCCCGGGTCCGAGTCACTGTCACCCCGGGCCCGCCGGGCCGGGCCGCGGGTGACCGTACGGTGACTCGTGACGGCGACCCCGGGGGCCCGTACTTGCCGCCGGCCTGCGGCAGTGCAGGCCGCGAGGCTCAGCACAGAGTGAACTTGAAGTTTGGATGTTGAAAGTTCAGCCATGTAGTAACGTGATACTACTATGATATGACTCAGTACGGTATGATATCACTGAAAGGAATGCCACAGGCAGCCGCATCATTTGACTGCGGGCAGTGCGGGCCGGGTGGCACTGGCTGGCCCACTGGTGGTCACGGCCGTTGTACGGTGCCGATCTGCCGCCGAGTATCTCCCGGGCCTGATTGGACGATGGCTCCGCCGACTCAGCGGCCGCTGTGAGAGAGGAGCCGGAGGGTATAGACGAGGTTCTTCTTCCTTGTTCTCAACACCGAGCAGCTTCCACCAGCTGATGCTGACCCAGTACTCTCCGTTGTTCTCGTTCACGACGATCCTGTAGTGGCTGTACCTCTGAGCCTCTTCCACTGCTATGCTCTTCCCTGCTTCTGTATAGCCCGTCACGTTGTCCTGCGAGTCTACCACAGACCACTCCAACCCGTCGTTGGAGCCGAGGATCCAAAACTTCCTCGGCCCCCTGTAGAGGTCGTTGGCTCGGGTGTACAAGACATACTCCTGTAGGTAGATGGGGACAGGAAGCGAGATCTGCAGCCACTCGCCTGCACAGGCGATGCCTGTGGTGGTGATGGTGGGAGGATACCGAGTGTACTCGCCTGTCGCCAAGGAGTAGAAGTCTGGTGACTGTGTCGTCCAGAAGTTGATCACTGATGAGTTGCTGATAAAGTCAAAGGCGTTCCACGCGCGCTCGGAGCAGCAAGCGCCAGAGGACGATACGACGTAGATGCCATTACCATAGGGAGCGCCAGAGATGGTAGAGGTCAAGGCAGAGAGAGGAGCCGGAGGGTATAGACGAGACCTTGGGCATGGTTCGCTCCTACCTACAGTTCCCTGGGCAAGGAATCACTGCAAGAAGCAAAGCAGACGCAGAGCGTACAACAAAAAGGTTTAGGGAGGTTTGAAAGCCCCAGGGCAGGAAGCTTTTGTTCCTCTCATCGTAAACAAAGCAGGCGGCATCGATCACATGACTGACGCAGGCGCTCTCGTAGTCGCACACCCAGACCTCAAACCTGCCACCAGGGATAAATGGCAGGAGATGAAATGTGACGGTCGGCCAGGAACAAGAGCAGCAGCAAGCAGCAGCGAGAGGAGTAGTTGCTTTTACCTTCCTACATCCATGAGTATCCCAAGCCCTCCTGTCAGGATTTCACCCGAGCTCAGCTGACTTACGATGACATTCCAGTCCTTGCTGAGCTCGCACTGTTGCACGCTAAGCGAGACATTCTCCCAGGGGAACACTGACAGCAGTAGGATACTTCAGTTCGAGACACAAGCAGACAGGTGATACTCACGGGAGTGACAGGCTGAGTCTCTCATCATCATCATCATCAGCAGCAGCAGCATCAGCCTCAGCATCATCGCAACCACCAGCTTCGAGGCTGCTGGGAAGTGGAAAACAAAAAAAAAGAGGCTTCAGTGCAAGTGTCCGCGGCCCGAGCCGCTGAGCCGGCCGCCCGGGCCGCCGGGCCGGGGCCGCCGCGGGGCCCCGCGTGACGGAATACAAGTTTGTTAGACTTGTACTAGTCCAAAGTCACGCAGACATCACATCGACCTCAGTTGTAACAAGACAGTTTTTGCTCAAGACCGAGTTTAATGCACACGAAACCAGAATTGAGGAGCACATGAGAGATAGACTGTATGCTAGGATGTGAAACCCAAGCATCCAGACATGAGGGGTAACACAAGTCGAAGAACAGCTGTAACAGCATGTATTCTTGTACGGTAGATAGTAGGCCTGGCGTCGTCTCAGTCGCAGATCCGACCGATCATCGGACGGTACTAAGAATCAATTTCCACTTCATCGCGTTCGCTCTAGCCCAGCAGCTACTCCATAGAAGAAAGTTGAGTTCCGCATGTAGGCTGATATCCCCAGATACGCTTCTATTCGCACCTTGTCCAGCTGCAGTTGAGTTTGTGGCTGACTCTCACGCTCGAGCATGCGCACGACACGCAGCAGAGGGATGGCTCTATGATTTCCCTCCAACAGGACACACGCAGATTCTCCTTCCTCCCTCCTCTCCGCTACAACTGTGCAAGCAGAAAGACACTTACAAGTGAGTCCCAGCAGCACGAAAGCCACCAGCTCCCAGCTTGCCTCACCTATCACCTTCTCGTTCACAGACATGGCATCCTCCTAGCGTAACTGAGATTGAGAGAAGTAGATCAAGAGGCGGGTTCACCATGTAGTGCTTGAAGATCTGATTCATCTTGTTGCAATGCCTCCCACAACCCTCCCCGTCCTTCATGGGCTGCCATTTGTCGGTCGTCTCAGGGGCAGCTGAGCTGAGTGAGGCGATCAAGGTCGATCGCTCGCAAGGTACCTCGATGCTGCTGACAGAAGCGCGAGCAATTCTTCGCAAGTGACGCCATGAGGGAGAGGTTCATCGCAGCACATTCAGTCAAGGCGTCATGCTGCAGCAGGTGAGGCGGTGCAGTCTAGGGGAGAGAGATAACCTGCTGCACAGCGAGACTAGGTCCGAATTCCCTTCCCCATGACTGCTCGCACATGACATGCAGCTGGGAAAGGCTCGAGAGCTGTAGGATTGACTTGAACCATTCGACATCCTTGGGGAGGGAACGAAAGATGTTGATCTACGGCCACGTGATGTATGGATGTCTCCTCAAGTTCCTTCTCACCTTCCTGTTGGTTCCCGCTAGCATCGCCCTCAAGACGTTCTCGTGCTCGTTGCTCAAGTCAGGATCGAACACCATCGACGTCACACGCTCGTCGCCCTGCCAGGCTGAAAGAGGTAGCGAGGTTGAGAAGGAGAGCAGGCGGGAGAATGGAGACCTTGGTGTTCGGCCTTGTACCACTCGGAGGCGAGAAAGGAAGAGATCACTTCGTTTACGCTCACTGGAGCCCAACCGTCCTGCCCACACACATTCTGATCCATCAGTCTTCTCCCTTTTTCTCCCTTGGGGCTGTGCCGAGTTCGCGCCATGGCTCGGACGTGCTTCAGTATGGGCCACTCGTCGCTCTCACAGTCGCTCCCACAACGAGGAGGAGAAAGGTTGGGCCGCTCTCTGGCAGGGGATTCGACCTTGAAGAAGGTGCGCGAGGAGGACAGGAGGAGGTTCTCATCTGCTCCCAGGACCTCCACGAAAGCCTCATAGTTTCCTGCTGGCACGTCCTGCCACTTCTCAACTCTCAGCCGTGAGCTTTTGACAAGACAAGCCGCACCTCGATTCTGCTCTCTTCCTCTCCCAGCCGTACGGGGTTTGCTGAACGACTCTCTGCTGAACGACTCTCTGCTGAACGACTCTCTGCTGAACGACTCTCTGCTGAACGACTCTCTCTAGACGATTCCACAACATGCAGCCATGCCGAAATGGCTCCAACGGCAGGGACATGTTTCATGCATACGACAAGGCGCATGTTGGCATGGGTGATGAGAGTATGGTTCAGCGGTTCCAGAATCGCCACGGCAGGCGAGTCATCGGGACTACTGTAGTCGCTGCAGTTGCGGGAGGGAGCATACAGCAAGCTTCGCCTGAAGATCTGCTCGCCTCCATCGCATGAGCCAAGTACGAGGAGAAGAAAGCCGATCATGAACATTCGATCTCCAGACCGTCTCGAGCACCTCGTCATCTCACCTGACCTCTTGATCCTCATCTTGATCTTCCTGCTCCTCCTGCTCCTGCTCCTGCTCCTGCTCCTGCTCCTGCTCCTGCTCCTGCTCCTGCTCCTGCTCCTGCTCCTGCTCCTGCTCCTGCTCCTGCTCCTCCGTCTCCCTCGCGCCCGTTGCTATGCTTTACCACATTGGCTCCATCATTAGCGAGAAATGTATAGGTGAGTACCCCAACAAATAAAGGCTAGATCAGGGTGGGTGCTGAAGAGATCTAGTAGGGGGTAGTCTCCATGATAAGAAAGGGGGTGGGTAGTAGCTCACCATACAAGCAAGAGCTTGCCGCCTAGTCGGGCATACCGAAGGAGAGGGAGGGGAGGGAGAAGAGAGGGAGGGGAGTGAAGGAGGAGAGAGGGAGGGGAGTGGAGGAGAGAGTGGAGGAGAAGAGGCGGGGGAAGAGAACGATGGATCAAGGGGAGCGAGCGATGGAGCCATCAGCTGGATTTCTTGCGATCATCAGGAGCGTGATGATGGTGAAGCTCAAGACTCTGGTTCGGGTGATGTCCTTCAAGGCCTTCAAACCCTCGCACCCCCACTACAGCTGGCTCCAACGCTTCAAAGATGCCGCCAAGCTCCAGGAGAAGACACTCACTGATTATCTACGGCATGTCCTCCAACGTGAAGGACTGTGCGGGGTCGTCAAGAGGGCATTGCCAGCGTACATGGGGAGCGCGATGAGCAGCATGACACTTTACTCAGTGTACAGTGAGATGCAGTGTGAGAGTCTCGACAGCCGAGGCATGACAAGCTGCAGGTCACGTCAGCCCGTATCAACTCTGCATCGAATGGCCTTCTCCTAATATAGAGCAGGCAGGAGCTCCGCTCTTCTTTCAGGTCTCTCCTCACTTTCACAGTCTGTTTACTTCCGCGTCTCACATCACCGCCAGACGTTCCGCGAGGTGATGGGCTACGGATGTGCTGCAGGTGCGGCTCACGGCATCGTCTCGGCCCCCACCAAGATCATTCTCAACGCGTATTACAATCAGCCGAGAGGCTCGTCGCCCTCGCTCTCCCTCCCAGCCCTCCGCCGCCTCTTCCTCCCGAAGCACTGGTCCGCCGCGGCCATGACGGTGGGAGCCGAGCCAAGAGACGGTCAAGGGCGAGTGTGACTGGGACCCGCAGTTGCTCAAGGACTCACTTGCCTTCGGCGCCTTCTTCGGGGGGTACGAGGCTTGCAAGCAGACAAGCACGCGGCAGGTGGCAGAGCTGCTTGAGGTCAGCGCGATCCTCTCGTCCCTTGCTCGCATCTTGGTCGTGATGCTCGGCAGGGGCGGCAACTGCTGCTGGACCGTCACGTCGCTCTTGTGTCTGGCGCTGCCGTCCTCTCAGGCGGGTTTGCGGGTTTCTGCTACACGAGCGTCAAGTTTCCTATCGGCTGGTTCCTCGAGCGCAAGCACGGAAGCAGGTCAAAGCGCCAGGTAGTGAGAGCCTGCAGTGACGCGAGGAACAGGCCCTGGGTGAGGTTCCCCTCGCTCTTCTTCAAGGCAGCCGCTCTCTCCTCCCTGCCGAATGCCTGTGGGTCTTGTCGTCACTGCTGTAGCCCTTCGCTTAACTGCTCGATTGTTTGTTAGGCTCTTTCCTCGCTCTGGAGCTCTTCCTCCACTACTCTGGTATGCGAAACATCTCGTAGCGCTGCCAGGAGCCAGTTTGAGGTTCTCATCTCCCTTCTACGTCGACCATGTCTCTCTCCACTCTAGTTGCCTCCTCCTTCCCCGTTTTTCAAAATTTTGTCAAACTGCTCGACCTGCATCACGCGACAAGATGCAAAAGAAGTGATGAAGCACTGAAAGAGAGATGGAGAGATGAAGCACTTGAAGCACTTGATGTACTAGAAGCACTTGATGTACTAGAAGCACTTGATGTACTAGAAGCACGTGATGTACTAGAAGCACTTGATGTACTAGAAGCACGTGATGTACTAGAAGCACTTGATGTACTAGAAGCACTAGAAGCACTTGATGTACTAGAAGCACTTGATGTACTAGAAGCACGTGATGTACTAGAAGCACTAGAAGCACTTGATGTACTAGAAGCACTTGATGTACTAGAAGCACTTGATGTACTAGAAGCACTTGATGTACTAGAAGCACTTGATGTACTAGAAGCACTTGAAGCACTTGAAGCACTTGAAGCTTCTAGTGCTTCAAGTGCTTCAAGTACATCACTCACTGGCATCATCATTCACTCGTCCACCAAGCCCTTTAAGCCTCCTCGACTACCACCCCCCCTTATCTTGTATCACCCCTCTTTTCCCCCCATAGTACCCCCATTTTTCCTCTTTCGTTTTACCAACCCCTACCCTAATCACCCCTTCCTCTGTGCTCCTGCAGCCGCAACCATGGCGGGCTGGCATTTGTTGCCGCTCGTCATGCTTGTAGTGAGGGCCCACGCTGCTCTGTCCCCCTCCCCCTCTCTCTGCTCTCCTGAGCTTCCAGTCTCTCTCCCTGCCCTGCCTGACCGTCTCAGCCACGAGTCGCTCTTGTTGGAGGCTGACCAAGTTTGTCGCTCCGATCGTTGCTGCTCGCTCTCGAGCTCCATGGAGGGTTATCTTGGCTCTTCCTCGGCATCTCGTCAGGCGCTGAAAGCTTCTCGTTCTTCCTCCCTTCGGTCCAGGGGGGGCGAGCGAAGCTCCTCCCTCTCAAGCAAGCTTTGGTCTGCGCGAGGAAGAATGGAACGGTTGAGGGGGGGAGGACTGCTTGTTCAGGGGACTCCCTTGATGTGGGAGGACTCGCTGCCTTGGCTCAGCTACGTGCGCGAGCATGGTGTCTTGCAGTTCATTCACACCTACTACGCGCACAAGGGAAGAAACGGCGAGAAGCTGCTGTGGGGGGAAGAGCTGGAGTATCAGATTCTCAAGGTTGATAGAGAGAACAAGAAGGTGAGGATCTCTCTGCGCGGGGCTGAAGTGCTCGAAACCCTGAGGGGTAGAGAGGACAAGAGCGGGAGGTCGGACAACCGCAAGGAGGCATGCGCATGGCACCCGGAGTACGGGGCATGGATGATTGAAGGCACTCCCAGGATGCCATTTGGAGGGTTTGTGCGCGATCTGCGCAGAGTGGAGCTGTCGATGCGGTTGAGGAGAAGGAGGATCCTCGCGGCTCTGAGTAAGGACGAGATCGTCCCCACCATCACCGCCTTCCCTATGATGGGCACGCAAGACTTCACTGACCCTCCCACAGAGCCCAACGGCCCCGTCGCTCAGTCGGACACTTGCTCTGATGCCGTCATCAACGGACACCCGAGGTTCGCGACGCTGACCGGAAACATCCGGAAGAGGAGGGGATCAAAGGTGAACATCAAAGTGCCCTTGTTCTTGGACTCCAAGACGGAAGAGAGGTGCGCCAACGAGACCATCCCCAACCCCGACGAGCCTCTTCGCATGTCTGGCTTCGACAACTGGACTTGCCCGCGACGGCACACGATCGAGATGGACTGCATGGCATTTGGCATGGGCATGTGCTGCTTGCAAGTCACTTTTCAGGCTCGCGACATCCACGAGTCGCGTCATCTCTACGATCAGCTTGCGGTCCTCACCCCAATCATGCTCGCCCTGTCTGCCTCCACCCCCATCCTTAAGGGAAGGCTGGCAGACACTGACGTCCGCTGGGCTACCATCGCTGCTTCCGTTGACGACCGGACGCCGCAGGAGCGAGGGCTGGAGGTGTGTGCTCCCTCGCACAAGGGGCAGATGGGATGGATGGCAGGAGGAGGCGCAAGAGCTCTGCCCAAGTCGAGGTACGAATCTATCTCCTCCTACATCTGCGACTGCAAGCAGGGATCAGACCCGACCTCCTCGCTGGACAAGTACAACGACATTCCCTGCCCCATTGACGAGACTTCCTACGAGACTCTGATCGCCGCCGGCATCGACAAGAAGCTCGCAAGGCACATCGCTCATCTCTTCGTGCGGGACCCGCTGGTCATCTACAGCGAGCGGATTCACATCCCCGACTCCGACTCCACCGACCACTTTGAGAACATTCAGTCAACCAACTGGCAGACGGTGCGCTGGAAACCTCCTCCTCCCGGCAGCGACGTTGGCTGGCGCGTCGAGTTCCGCTCGATGGAGGTGCAGCTGACAGACTTTGAGAACGCAGCCTTCACGGTGATGACGGTGCTGATCTCGCGAGTGCTGCTCTACTTCCGGCTCAACCTCTACATGCCTCTCTCCAAGGTCGACAAGAACATGCAGGAGGCTCACCGACGCGACGCGGCGACTGAGGGGAAGTTCTGGTTCCGAAAGCACATGGCCATCACTGAGGAGCTCGAGGACGGACAGACGCACGACGAGTGCGAGCTGATGAGCATCTACGAGATTCTGACAGGAAAAGGCACTCACTTCCCCGGGCTCCTCCCACTCGTCTTCGCCTACCTCGACAACATCGGATGCGACACGCTGACACGCGACTCCGTGAGGTCTGTGCTGGACGGAAAAGGAGAGAAAGAAATGATGATGATGATGATGATGATGATGATGATGATGATGGAGATGATGATGATGATGATGATGATGATGATGATGATGATGATGATGATGATGATGATGATGATGATGATGATGATGATGATGATGATGATGATGACGATGATGATGACGATGATGATGACGCTGATCACGATGAGCAGACGATATGCGATGCTGCTGGAGAAGAGAGCCAAGGGTGACCTTTTGACTGCCTCGTACGTCCATCTTCTCTTGTTTTTCGCTTCGCCTGCTAGAGGTGACACGTCATCACCACCAGCGCATGGATTCGCAAGTTTGTGAAGCAGCACCCTCGGTACAACAACGACTCGGTGGTCACTGACGAGATCGCCTATGACCTCTTGGTAGAGAACTGCTCCCATCTTCCCTCCCTCCCTCCCTCCCTCCCTCCCTCCCTCCCTCCCTCCCTCCCTCCCTCCCTCGCTCCCTCCCGCTCCCTCCTTCCCTCCTTCCCTCCCTCGCTCCCTCTCGCCCTCCCGCCCTCGCTCGCTCGCTCGCTCCCTCCTCCCTCCCTTCTTCCCTCCCTTCTTCCCTCTCGCCCGCCCGCCCGCCCTCCCTCCCTCCCTCCCTCCCTCCCTGATCCCTCAATCTCCTCGTCCCTCTCCTATAAGTCCCTTCCTCTCCCCCCCCAGCTTTATGCATCCCTTCTCTCCTCTCTTCAAATTTCTTCAAACTGACCAGGTCCTCTCGTCTATTGTATGCTCTCGGCTTGCTTGATATCAGATTGCATGCTCCGATATTGGTGAGGGCAGACGAAAGGCCCCTGACGTCTTTGGGAATGTGGTCATCGAGCCGCTCACCAAGGATGGAGCGTGAGTGGAAGGAGGGGGGAGGGGGAGGGGGGAGGAAGGAGGAGCATGGAGGAGTAGAGGGGTGCGGAGGAAAGATGGAGGAAGTCCTCCTTGGATGGAGCGAGGTTAAGCAGGTATGAGCAGGTACGAGGTGTCGCTGGAGTCAACGCCGCTGGACCAGAAACAGAGAAGTCTACTGATTGAAAAGTATCGGATGAGGTGAGAAGACGAAAGGAGACGAGAGGAGGAGAGGGGAGGGGAGAGGGAGGGGAGGGGAGGGGAGGGGAGGGGAGGGAGTTGAAATGGAGATATTAGAACCAGCTCAACAAGAGTTGATTCAAGGAGCTGAAGAGGAGGCCCCACAAGGAGAGGACAGGGAGACAAGAGGAGAGGAGAGGACAGGGAGAAAAGAGGAGAGGAGAGGACAGGGAGAAAAGAGGAGAGGAGAGGACAGGGAGAAAAGAGGAGAGGAGAGGACAGGGAGAAAAGAGGAGAGGAGAGGAGAGGGAGAAAAGAGGAGAGGAGAGGGAGAAAAGAGGAGAGTAGAGGGTTGATGCGAATGTTCAGGGCGCTTGACAACAAGGAGAAAGGAACGTCAATCTCTGACGGCTGGACAAGTCCAGTAGAGGAGCAGGTGAAGCTCTCGAGCATGACTAGCCCCAGCTGAGGCCCTGCAGGTCATGGAGGCAACTGGACGAACCCCCCCCGAATGTCGCCTGTGCGTCACCTCTCATGCCTGCCGCTGCGCCAGTACGGAGGGCGAAAAAGTGGTGAGAAGAAGAAGACGGGAGAATGGAGAGCGGGAGGAAGGGGAGGATCTGACTGGATCAACAGAAGCGAAGTCTATCGGCTGGTCTGGACGATGAGAGTGAAGAATTCTCACAAGCAGCAAGAGAAGCTGTAGATTCATAACCTTGTAGATCAATCTTTAAACTTCTCCTTCACGTCTCCTGACTCCCCCTCCCGGAGTCCTCCTCTTCCACCACCACCACCACTACCTGCTCCTCCTCCTCCTCCTCAGGCTGCTGCTCCTCCTCAGGCTGCTGCTGCTGCTGCTGCTGCTGCTGCTCCTCCTCCTCCTCCTCCTCCTCCTCCTCCGCCACTTCCTCCTCTTCCTCCTCACTG